CCTCCGTACTAGGGATTGAACTCAGGGGCACTTAAGCATTGAGTCACATCCTCAGCCCTATTTTGTATTTTATTTAGAGACAGGATCTCACTAATTTGCTTAGTGCCTCACTGTTGCTCAGTCTGGCTTTGAACTCATGATCCTCCAGCCTCAGCTTCCCAAGCTGCCGGGCATGCACCACCATGCCTGGCCAATTAGCATTTCTTGTAGTATATATCTGGCCTGCATAAAATATGAAACGATATTTATATTTGTAAAAAAATCAATTTGAAGCTAATTATAACATAATGTTAGATGTTTAAAAGCCAGTATAATGTTTAATTATAAATCTCAGTCATGGGAACAAGGAAGAACTCAGTTTGAAATATTGTCTATCTGCTGTTTACCTCCATGAAAATAAACATGAATTTATTTTCCCAGTATGTATTATCTGTGAAATGGGGTTAATAATATTAATTATGCTTTAGGGTTGTGATGAAGATTAAAGGAAAGAATGCATGTGAAAAAATTGCTTTAATGAAACTGTGTTGATGCAGCAAACAATCCCTGTTTGCAGGGTTATTTGCATGTCCTTAAAAGGTATCCAAGCAAAAGACTTACATCTTTAAAATGAAATATTCTGTATAATATTAATAAAAACCCTTATTTGGTATAACATTTTTTATGTTTCTATGTAATTTATTTTTTTTCGTTCATGATTTAGATTTGATACCAGCATTGGTCCCCTGGTGTACTCTGACCAATATTTACAGATTTCAACCAGACTTCCCAATGAATATATTTATGGAATTGGAGAGCATATTCATAAGAGATTCCGTCATGATTTATATTGGAAAAGATGGCCAATATTTACTCGGGATCAACTTCCGGGTGATGTAAGAAATTATCTTTCTTGTTATAAATAAAATCATTACATTGAAGCAGTTGATATTTTTAAATAGCTAAACTATTTTAAGCTATCATTTATTTGACATTACCAAATAAATTATTCAGGTATTAGTAACATATAATCCAGAGTTATGTTTGTTGTAGGGGTGAGGTAGCTAAATCCTAAATCGGCTCAGTGATGGATAGATTTTTGTGAATGTTTCAACAAGCATTTCCTATTTATGAATGTATTATTTTGACTTTCATATTTATATTTTATCATTCTTTTTTTCAATTACCCTTGTATTCAAACCCATTAAGCTAGAATAGTTTCAAACATCATGTTGCACAATATTTTATGTGATTTGATGTTTTTCTGTCTTTTGAACACCAAAGTGCACTCTTGTCCCCTTCTTCTGAACATAACATGTGATTATCTTCCATAACTTTGAATTACTGCAAACCAGTTGTGTTTTTTTTTTACTTACTGAAACTTAGGGTGGTTTATTCTTTATACAATGTATCATTGAGGGCTCAGCTGAAGTCTCCCTCATATAAAAACCTTAGTGCATCAATAATCACCACGTTTTATTTCTTATATATTTGTCTCCTCTTCTAGAATTTGAGATGCTTGAGGACAAAGACTATAGTCATTAAATAACATTTTTAATTATGTTTTTGATTTTTTAAATGTCAGTGCTGTTTCATTCTCCAAAATGAACAAGTAAATGATTGTTTTAAGGAGCTTCACTTGGTACTGAGCTATTAATAAATTCTACCAATTTTTATTTATAACATGACTATCTGTAATAACCCCCAGGCTAAAATCCTCAACCCTACTTTACATCCATTCTTTTCTTTAAACTTCCACATCCAATCAGTTAAGAAGTGTCTCTCCTTACACCTTTCAGTGTCTATACAGTTTGCATCCACTACTTCTATTGTTCATCAGCAATCAACAAATATATACAAAAGTTCTATGAGGATAGTCATCCATTAGTTTGTTGTGCATACATGAGGTGTAATGGATGTACATGTTATAATGTCCTCATAAATAATATATTAACACATATTTAATTATAAAATACATAAAAATGCAAATGACCTATTAAAATAATATGTATGCTGTATATCTCATATGTTAATATAAAATTACTAATTAAAACAATTTAAAAAACTTGTGCCTAAGTTTGATATGATACAAATAATGAAGAATATTGGTATAGAGATACAGGGGGCAAATTACAGAAACAAATGAACTTATAAAGGTCATTTTAATATATTTAATCATTACTTTAAAATTTTAATTTTCAAATGTTTGCTTTCTAGAATAATAATAATTTATATGGCCATCAGACATTCTTCATGTGCATTGAAGACACTTCTGGAAAGTCATTTGGTGTTTTCTTAATGAACAGCAATGCAATGGGTAAAATTGATCTTTCTGATAGCATGCTTAGATGAAATTATCTTAACATGTTTAACTTTTCTTTTTATTCCAATCATTGATATTGGATTCCAGAGTAAACTCTATTATAAATGACCTTAGGATGCAAAATTATTGTAAGTAGGTTTTGAAATTAGTGAGACAATAGATTTTTGCATATCAGTGTTTCTATTTTGGGGAGAGTATGCTATGCTTTGACATACAGGTGCTTTCTTTTCCCTTCAGAGCAACACGAAAACATATCCACACAAATTAGTTTTCTCATCTCCACAGCCTCATTTGTCATGATAAGATAATATACTTCTCCAAATATAAAAAAGAAAAATCTCTATGGGGATAGAAATAAGAAAGAGTAATATTTTAGCTTATTATACTTCAAATGATGTAGAATCTTTTGCTTTTTTAATGTTGTAAAGTAGAATATCTATTTAATAGGTGAGTCAGTGTTAATAAAATGTTACAAAAATTAATGTTCCTGCAGGAGCAGTATATTACATGGAGACCAAGTCAATTACATGTAAGGAAGTTAAATTAAAAACCTTCATATTTTTTTCTTCTTAGAAATTAATATGTGTGCTGTGATCTCTCAAGGAGTCTTGAATTGAAATGAGTAATTGAGATGCAGTTTTAGAAAAACAGTGTTTTTGCTGTTAAGAGGTATAATCCTCTTATTCATGGTGGCATTCTACTTTTCTACTACAGTATTCCTGAATTCAATGTTAGGTTTCTTTTTAGTTATTTAAAATAGTGTGAAATAATATGACTTATATAAAATATTTTAAATGTACATTGAAATTGCTTTATTATTAAGTATCTTTTTCACCGTTTAAATATATTTCACCAATTTTTATTTTACAGAGATTTTCATCCAGCCTACTCCAATAGTAACTTATAGAGTTACTGGTGGCATTCTGGACTTTTATATCTTCCTAGGAGATACTCCAGAGCAAGTAGTTCAACAGTATCAAGAGGTAAGTTTCAAGCCTATTTTTAAAAATTATTTTGTTATATTTTTTCTTTGTCTATCAAGTTCACATATTTGAATAACTTTTCTTTATGTATCAGGGAACTCTTAGCTAAACACATCTGGGAAAAGGAAATTATTTTTAATAAGATTCAAGGACCATAACTGTTTTTAAAACCTTCTTTTCATGATATACTTCTTATTTTATAATTCTATTTCCAAAACTTAACTCTAAGAAGTAATACCTGTCAAAAAAAAAAAAAAAACTCTGAGAAAAGGATCTAAAACTCTGAGTTGAGACTAGTTAGAGTTTTATCCAGTTAGTTTATTAATTATGTCTGAAAATTTCCAAATCTATTCATAAATGTGAATTTTGGAAAAGAGCCACAGAAATATTTACAATCTCTTTAATTTAAAATTGTAATTATCATTCTGGACTTTCATACAAAGAGAAATTCTATGTGTGATACTTGTATGTCCAAACAATGTATTTTTCTTAAAAAAAAAAAAAAAACTGACATTTTAACTGCATGCAGTGATGTATGCCGGTAATTCCAATGGCTCGGGAGGCTGAGACAGGAGTTCAAAGCTAGCCTCAGCAATGGTGAGAAGCTAAACAACTCAGTGAGACCCTGTCTCTAAATAAAAAATATAAATTAAGGCTAGGGAATGTGGTTGAGTGTCCTTGAGTTTAATTTCTGGTACCTGCCTCCCCACCCACCAAAAAAAAACAACAACTGACATTTTGATTGTCAAACATTAGTTCCTGTAGCTCATTATTATATGCTGAGCCAAATTTGTGGTAAACAATAGTTGAGTTTTAGTACTCTCGAATATCTGAATATACCATATATATGGCATAATGATATATTTTCTTACAATATTTTATGGGTAGACTTGCCGAGGATTGAATATATAGCACTATAAATCACTGCTGAATTTAAATGACTCAAATTGTGTAGAAAATAGGCAGAAAAAATTAAATTTTATTTGAAGAAAAGAGAAATTATCTTCTCTATATATTGCCAACATAATTTTTAGTATGTTAAATTTTAAATAGATTTCATTTGAGTGGCTAGATGGTTTTATCAGTTTTAAAAACCATGCATGCATACAAAGTATAAGATAAATAGATGCTAGTTAATGGGAAAATAAATATTTTAAATACTTATGCAAAACATTAAATTTATAATGTCTATATGTGTGTGCAGTATGTGTGTATATACTATACATGTATATGTACACATATATATCATATCTATAAGAAGAAATTTCAATCACATGTCCAAGTATTTAAATAATTCTATGAAATATGAAATATTTAGGAATATAGTTGGAAAATTAATACTTTTGTTTGGAGATTTATTAGACATGAAATTATTTTAAAGATAAATTTAATATTTCTTTGTATGGATAAAAATAAGCATGAGCAATTTTTTAAAAATTTTGCATTATAGTTTTTAAGCTATAGATTATAAGTAAATCATGGGTGTATATATATATATTTTATATACATGTATATGTACATATATATGTATTTTTTTTGGTCTAAAGAGAACTATTATGCCTAGTTAGATTATTTGTCATAAAGTAACCTAAATCCAAAGTTTCAATAAACAATTTTAGAGCAATTATATATTTATTTCTACATACAAATTTGTGTCTTATTCTGTGATGAGAAAATGATGCTTTCTTGCAATTCTGCACTGGGCTTGCTTTGACCACTATGGAAATGAGGGGAGAAGGGGATCTATTTGGCCTAGGAAGAAGAAAAACGGCCAAAACACTACATGTGACAAATTCTAGGCAGTAACTGGTTGCAAACCTTGTAGAACATGTATTTTGTGTAACTTTTTTGAAAACTTGAAAAGAAATATCTGCCAAAAGGCCAAGTCTGTTGGTACACACCTGTAATCCCGGAGACTCAGGAAAGTGAGGCCAGAGAATTGCAAGTTCAAAGCCAGACTCAGCAATTTAGCAAGGCCCTATTGTGTAGTACTTTGTGTAGAAAGTAGGACTACTTTCTACACAAAACAAATTAGTGAGACCCTGTTTCAAAATAAATAATAAAAGGGCTGGGCAATGCAAAAAATTACGATTGTAATGCACTCCTCTATTGTGATGTATGTAAGAAATAATAAAAAATAAATTTAAAAAAAAGGGCTGGGGATGTTGCTCAGTGGTTAAGCACCCCTGAGTTCAATCCCTGGCACAGAACAAAAATCAAAAAACAAACAAACTAACTAAAAAGGAAATAAATGACAAAATGTAAGGGAATACAAACTGCAAACTGCAATTTTAAACATGTTTTGTCTGCAATGATGAATGATGATGTTTTTGTCCTAATGGGAGGCGGAGGTACCCTGGGAAATTTTTCCTTTCATTCTATTATATTTTATTTGATATCTTTTTATTCTTTTCTTTCCCCTTCTATGATTAGACAGAATATATTTTGTCAAATATTACTTTCTTGAGTGCTTCATTTTCTAATTTTTTTTTTTTGTATGTGGGGGGACAAGGTTTGAACTCAGGGGCACTGGACCACTGAGCCACATGCCCAGCCTTGTTCTGTATTTTATTTGGAGACACGGTGTCACTGAGTTGCTTAGCACCTCACTTTTGCTGAGTCTGGCTTTGAACTTGCAATCCTCCTGCCTCAACTTCTCCAGCAGCTGTGATTACAGTTGGGTGCCACTGTGCCGGACCATCATTTTCTAATTTTCAATGAAAAATAACAAATGAGGCACAGAACATAAATTTCTTAAATGTTTCACAAACAAAATTCTAACAATATGTAGGAAACATTTTTAAATGCAGGTAATAATAAATATTTACAATATATAATTAAGTAAATTCTAGATATATAGCAGAATAAAAAACTCTTTAGTTACTAATGCTGAATGAATTTCTCTTTATTGAAACTAATTTAATGTCAACTTACCTCAAGCTCATTGGACTACCAGCAATGCCTGCCTATTGGAGTCTTGGATTCCAACTGAGTCGCTGGAATTACAAATCATTAGATGTAGTGAAAGAAGTAGTGCAAAGAAACAGGGAAGCTGGCATACCTTTTGTAAGTAGAACGAAGGGTTTATGGGGATTTATATATATCTTAAGCATTGCCATAAAATAACAAATATAGTGAATTTTAAGATATCATATATATCTGTATATGATATACCCATAGATGCATATGGTTTTAAAGCTAGTTTTTAATGTTGAAGTCTATTTAATCTCCTAACATAATTCCCACTTTTTTTGAAAGTTAAAAGTATATATTTTTGAAAAATGATCAGAAGTTATAGAACTGAATGTTTAATAGTTAACAAAATCACGATTTTTAAAAATAGACCTGATTTTAGAATTCATGTCTTTAAAAAATGATTTCCTGAACTCTGCAGGCTTTTGTTTTCTGTGCAATGAATATCACATGTATAATCTAATAAAAATCTAGTCATTACAGAGAAAAATGTGAATATTCATTTAAAGCTTTTTCTTTTAAGAACTAGAAAAACTAGTTTTATAAGCAATATCTCTTCTTAGATCATGATATAAGAGATGTTGATTTATTTTTAATAATTTATATATACATATATAATACAGTTTATTAGCTTTAAAGATAGTAATTAGTTGTTCTTTCAGTATGATTGATTGAAACACACTGTGTTAATTTTCAGGATACACAAGTCACTGACATTGACTATATGGAAGACAAGAAAGACTTTACTTATGATCAAGTAGCCTTTAAAGGGCTCCCTGAATTTGTTGAAGATTTGCATAACCATGGGCAGAAATACGTTATTATCTTGGTAATGATAAATTATACATTAGAATATTTTTAGCATTTGTAGGTTAATAGGTTTTCTATAGTCTCTTCTTTCTGTTTTTAGGACCCTGCAATTTCTATTGAGAAACGTGCTGATGGAGCACCATATGAAACTTATGAGAGAGGAAATGCACAGAAAGTGTGGGTGAACAAATCAGATGGAATTACCCCAATTATTGGAGAGGTATATTATGATATCCATTACACTTGTGTGACTCCTGTTTTGTGTTAATCCACAGGATCTTTCTGTATGCTTGTGTGTGTGTGTTTGCTTTTATTTTTGGATTTTATATTTTAATTGTGGTAAGGAATTATAGACAGAGAATATATTTTAATAATCTTTAAATAATTCCATCATACAGGAAGTAAATAGACATCACATTTAAAGACTATAAACAAAAATTGTAACTAATAAATTATGATTTATTTATTAGTATTTTATATTCTCACAAAAATACTGAGAGGTCTATTCAGCTATTTGACATAAAATAATTGCAAATAAAATTTGAATACTAAGCACCTATAAAATGAGCATTAAATTGTAAAAATTTACCTATAACACAATAAAAATATATATTATTAAAATTCTTTGCATGTGGCAACCAAATTTTAGAAAAGTGAAACGACTTATTCAAAGTCACACAACTAATGAGGAACAAAGGCAGAAATGTGCCTAGCTCTCAAATGTATGTATTTAACCCAAATAAATATCCTTTTGGTGGCAATTTTGTAAGACATGTTGAAAAGCAAAACAATATCTAGACACAATAAATAAGCAATTCCACTTCTGTAACTTAACAAAAAAAAATGGGAAACAAAAATATCAATTTAAAAATATGTGTCTAGAATAGCATTACTTACTATAATGAAGAATATTCTAGTTTTTTATTTTCTTTTTAGTACAGAGAATTGGACCCAGTGGTTCTTTAGCACTGAGGACCACCTCAATCCTTTTGAAAAATTTATTTTAGAAGAGGTCTCCCTAAATTGCCCACGCTGGCCTTGAACTTGCCAACCATCCATAGGCTTCCTAATAGCTGGGATTACAGTGTATGTCCCTGAGCCTGGCTCCTATCACTTCTTAGTGCATTTGTTTAATTTTCTTTAGAAAGATCTCCTTGAATAATATGAGCCCATTAGAACCAAGTTTTCCTACATATGATGCCTATTAAAATTTCATGGAATATAATGTTTGGAGATCTATTCTGTTGAGCAACTCAGGAGGCTGACAGGTGGGTCAAAGTTAAGGGCCAACCACAGCAACTTAGTGAGGCCCTAAGCAATTTGGTAAGACCCTGTCTCAATATAAAAAATAAAAAGGCTGGGAATGCAGTTCAGTGGTAAAGCACCACTGATTTCAATCCCCTGTGCAAAAAAAAGGTTTATCTGTTGGTTATGACCACACCAACCAGCCAGTCAGTAGTGATTATTTGGATATAAACACTATATTTATCTCAATTAATTTAAAATTAAATTCTTCTTGCTTAATGTAGTTATTGGATGCAATAAGTAAATTAATGTAAAATAATTTGGAGGAGCATAAATCACAAAGAGGTAGCATAATATGTTTTGTGTTTACCAGCATGGACTAAGGAATAAAATTACCTTGGTTGGAGTTCTTGCTACATCAGTTCTTAGTAGTGTAACTTTGAACAACATGCTTAACTTTGCTGTGCATAACTTTTCTCATCCACAAGGTGAATTTACATATGGCAGTTACCTTACTTGTAAAGTGATGATAAAAGTAGTACCTACCCCACCTCCTAAATTCACAATGAAGATTATATGTTAAAAATTGTAAAAATGATTTAATGCTTGGAATAGTGGCCTAGCATACATTTAGTATCATAGTGACATTGTGAATAAGACATAAATATAAAAGAGATTATTTACCCTGGATTTCTTGGAAGCAAATTTCTGTAGAAATGAACTATGTGCTTTGTTTTATTCAGATGGGAATGTATTTATATATGTATATATACATATAGTTTGTGTGTTTGTGTACTCTTTAATCTAATATACAAGGAGGCTGAGAAATAAATTTAGCTACAGTAAAAGTAGCAGCCTTAGGGTTGGGAGGTGGAGCATAGGAGGATTAGATGAACTCTAGATATGGCAAAGGAGTGGGAGGGGCAGGGAGGGGGCGTGGGGGGGTAAAAAAGATGGTGAAATGAGAAGGATATCATTACCCTAAGTACATGTATGAAGACACAAATGGTGTGAATATAGTTTATATACAACCAGAGATATGAAAAATTGTGCTGTATATCTATAATATGAATTGTAATACATTTTGTCATATATTAAAAATACAATAAAATAAATAAAAAATAAACAAAAAAGTAGCAGCCTCATCCAAAGTTCTTTTATATTTTCCTTCTTAAATGCCTTATGATATTCCTCTCTTTTTCTTTTTAACTGTCTTTACTTAAACACATCTAGAAATAGGCCTGAGGGTATAATGAAAGCATATCGTGCATGCCTAAAATATATACAATATTAAATTTTTAATAATTTTTACAATATACAACTCAATTAATTTAAAAATCCACTATGTATTTGTACTTTTATTTATGTATTTATGTGAATTATGTGTTCATGTAGGTATGGCCAGGATTATCTGTATATCCTGATTTCACTAATCCAAACTGCATAAATTGGTGGGCAAATGAATGCAGTGATTTTCATCAAACCGTGAAGTATGATGGACTTTGGATTGTAAGTAGTCGAAAAGTGTCATTTTGGTCAATGAAGATAGAATAATTTAGCTATAAAAAAGCAACAAGCTCTATTTTTCTAATATATTCAACATAAAAGTAAAAGCTTTTAATGTTTTCTAGAACCTGTAAATATTATATTTGGTATCTTCATAGGTTAGAGAAAACAACAAGAAATACAAATTGAGATGTTTCTTCTTTAGGAATGTACTTTATAGAATAAATTTAACTTTTTAAATTGAAGTGTTGAATTTTATAGCTAATAATTTATCTTTAAAATGTTAATCAGATTGAGGATAAACCTGTAGAAATTCATAAACCTATTTGCAATTTCAAAAACATTAATGTAAGTCTGCAATAGTCAAACAGTACCAATCTGAATGTCTTCACTCTTTAGAAACTTTTAGTAAGCCATGGAATAAAACAAATCAGAATTGGCAGTAAGTTGTGTTTCATATCAAGAAACAACAAGAAACAAAATACTAGATGACTTGTGCAGTTATTAAAGGAAAACACAAGTGTTTGGATCTTTCTTGGAATGAAGTTTTATTTCTATAACTATAAATAGCTAGTTACTAAACTTATTTATGGTATAAAGAAATATTGAATGATAGTTAATCCTTAGGTTATGGCAAATGTAACTCCATTATGTGAAAGAAACCACTATGATCCTGAAATTCTATATTTTAGGAAAAACATTTAATGAGCTTGAACATAGAACAACATTGACTTTGTTCAAAAGTATTACAACTGAATGAAATCCTGGAGAGATATTCTGGACCATATGCTTTTTGGGTTTTAGGTCCATAGTATTTCTATGTCCTTGAAATGCTGATTATTTATTTAGTTGCATTTTAATTATAAATTGATTTATTTAATAAATTATTTATTTTGCAAGTATTTATTTGGGACCATCTGTATATCAAATATGTTGGGAAAAATCCAAATATGGAAAAATTAGGTGTTTTTCTGATAAAATGGAATTGAGTAAAGAATGAGCATTATCTTTGAATTTCTATGATGTTATTGATAGAATGAAAATAGAGGTTTTTGTTTTTTCTTTTTTTTACGTAAAATCAGCAAAATCACACTGCCAATACTTAGCTACAGAAAGTAATAATTTTAAAAAAATCTTATGTCATTGAGCTTTATTTTTCATTTTAGCTATTAAATTATGAATTTAAAAAATTCTATAGATTTTTTCCTGCATATGAAACACTTTGGTTTATTAGAACTGTAATAATTATAATTGATAATTTAGAAACAGTGAAAGAGACTTTGTGCTGTAGAAATAAAGAAAGAATACTCCATTTTCTATATAATCAAAGAATGGGATTCATCTTCAAAGGCAGGAGAAGATGAAATGGAGAAGATATCAGGAAAAAAAAAGTTTTTCCAGCACTACTGTTAATGTAGGAACATTTAAATTAATCTTTATAAAGATGCTTAGGTTATGAGTTGTCAGAATATGATCAAGCTCACTTGGGGTTCCTTAAAAATCTTTCCGTATTCGAGGAGGTTGTACTATTTGAATTAGAATACTGAAGACTTTTTGCATTTTTTTTTCCATTTCCAGTCTCTCATGAGCAAAGACAGGAACTTGATCTACACAAATAGTGTTGATAGTCATGTGCTTAGCATATCAGAGAAACTAAATAAATGTGATCCAAAACATAATTATGTTGAATAAATTAATGTGCTAGGAATGTGTGTGTAACAATTGAAACTCAAAGAAGACACTCATACAACCATTTAGAAAAAAGGTGAAAAACTTAATATTTAAATTAATGTGTTTCATGTTCAATGAAAATTACTTAAGTGAAATTCATTTGGGTGTCTAAAATATCTCAAGCTAGCTGAGATACTTCTATGAGAAGGTATTTACATTCTGCTTGTTTTTAGGTTGGTAGCTTGGATGTATCTCAGGGATAAAAGAACTTTGTGGTTCCCCATTGATAAAGTATTTTTTTTTAAATCGGAGAATTTTTGCTTGTGTGACATAGAATTATTTAAAATCTGCTGATTTTCATTTTTATATCCTTTTAGGACATGAATGAAGTTTCCAGCTTTGTTCAAGGTTCAACAGAAGGGTGCAGTGAGAATAGTTTGAATTATCCACCCTTTACTCCTGGTAAATTTCATTTGGTTAACTAGAAGTCTTAATTGAGAATAGTTTTCCTGTTAACTGGTAAATTCTGGCATATGTTTATAAATCAAAATCTTTGATCTATTTTTTAAAACATGAAATCAATATGAAATATAAGATTATATTTAAATAAACTTTCTACTGTAGAGATTTAAAATGAGTCTATGAGTATATGATGCATAATATACAGGTATATGCTTCCATACTCCCATTAAGGGCTATTTTTCCATGTATTTATTTGTTATTTAAGTTAGGAAATATTATTTCACTGGCATTTATCAATATAAATGTAAAGCTAATAGTTTCTCCAAGCTCAGTAAGAGTAAAGGATAAGGATATAATTATAATTTATTTTAATTCAATGTAGTTTTTTATTTAAGACATGTTTCTTATGTGCTTTCTCTAAGATATTCTTGACAAACTCATGTATTCTAAAACAATTTGCATGGATGCTCTGCAAAACTGGGGGAAACAATATGATGTTCACAGCCTGTATGGATATAGCATGGCTATAGCCACAGAGAAGTAAGTATCATTCATTCAGAAACTCTTTTTGTATTTGTCTAGAAATATTTTTTTGTAATTTATCAATATAGTTAGAAAATAACTATATTATATTATAGTTATTCATCACTATGTGGTCTATGTATTTAATTGGACCCTTGTTATTACACCATCATTTGTTGATCAGATTAATATTTTAATTTAGCTTGTCATCTCTAAGTATAATTTTTTTATTTGGGGGGGGGAAGGGGTACTAGGGGCACTTGACAACTGAGCCATATCCCCAGCCCTATTTTGTATTTTATTTAGATACAGGGTCTCACTGAGTTGCTTAGTGCCTCGAAGTTGCTGAGGTTGGCTTTAAATTTGCAGTCCTCCTGCCTCAGCCTCTGAAGTCACTGGGATTACAGGCGTGTGCTACTCAGTATTATAATTGTTTTCTAAGCAATTGACTTGAACCAAAGGTGCTCCTAAAACAGGTCCTTGATTATTTTCTGAAATCAAGTGTTTCAATCAAAATTAAAGTGTAATTTCTAAGTAGTATTTTTCCAAGTACTTTTTTAATGCAATAAAGTAAAAAATTTACTTGATATAAAACTAAAGAAGCAGATCATCATATGTTTAAATATTATATAAGGTTCTATAATGCAGTAGTCAATAAAACATAGGTTCAATTCTTAATATATTCATAATTTTCTTATAATTAAATAACTGTGATTGAGTGTTAATTCAAATCAATGCTTTTCTCATCCCAAATCACACCATAATGTTAAAGTTTTGTACACTATTTTCATAGTGTTGCATTACTTTTGTATTTATACTTACCACAGTATTATATATTGCATTATTTAAATCAATAAAATCTATATTTAATCCAAAATAATTAAAACAGTAATGTGGAAAAAGCATCTGGAAATATCATTTTTTTCTAAGGTATCCTGAATAAGTTTATATGTTAAATTGAAGTTTCCTATTTTTTCTCAATAATTTGGCACTGATAAATAAACTATCAATAACAGGCACCATTAGAGATTAAAATGAATAATGCTAATAGTTGTTGCTGGTAGTTAACTTCTAGAATAATAAAAAAAATAAAATGCTACATACACATAAGCTTTTTTTCTGCTAACACTTGAAAATGTAAACACTAAGATATGATTAGTCATTACTCTATAGAAAGAGTATTACATTTAAGTTCAGATTATAAACTTTGTATTTATGAAAGGATTTCAGTGAGTTTAAACAATATATTACCAATGCAAATATTGAGTAGATGCCATGGGCTTTTGGTTTGATAAAGAATGAGTGAAGTCTTTCAAAAGCTCATTGTTTCTAAAAATATTCTTCTGTATTTGATCACAATATATTTAAATTAGTAAGTATTGATAGGCTAATAAAATTGATATAAACTTTTGAGAAAAAGCTCTTAAATATTATAAATTGACTCAGAGAATATTCAAATTATATTTGAAACTAAAGTTTTAAAATTAGCAAATATCAGTTTTATTTTAAGGTAAATCTTATTAATTTTGTTTCATTTTAAGAGCTGTAGAAAAAGTTTTTCCTAATAAGCGAAGCTTCATTCTCACCCGGTCAACTTTTGCTGGATCTGGACATCATGCTGCACATTGGTTAGGAGATAATACTGCTTCTTGGGAACAAATGGAATGGTCTATCGCAGGAATGCTAGAGTTCAGTTTGTTTGGAACACCTTTGGTAAGGCAGCTCAATACAGTGCTATATATATTTATAAAAGCCAAAAAATATTAGCTTTCTTATCATTTTTCGTTATGATGATGGAATCCAGGAACTTATTTTTGACAGGGGATACTGGGGAATGAACTCAGGGGTACTCGACCGCTGAGCCACATCCCCAGCCCTACTTTGTATTTTATTTAGAGACAGGGTGTCATTGAGTTGTTTAGTGCCTCGTTTTTTGCTGGGGCTGGCTTTGAACTCCCGATTCTTCTGTCTCCTGAGCTGCTGGGATTACAGGCATGCACCACCATGCCTGACTTGAATCCAGGAATTTGTATGTGCTAGGCAAATACTAATCACAGAGCTGCATTCTTAGCACCAGCACATAAACTTGTAATGGTATCTTTAATGCTTTTTGGTAAAATTATTAAAAAGAATATTACAGGAATAATCTCAATCTTCATTCTTTAGGAATTTATGAGAAAAATGAAATTTTGACATCTATATCATTCAAACAAGTAGGGAAAATTGAATTAACAAAAATTTATTATGGAAACTAATTCAGAAGATAAATATAAATAAGTTATGGAAAAGAACTATATTTAAAATTTTTTATAATCAGTTTAGATTCACACAGAAAATAAAGCTACTTTTTTTTTTACCTAAAAAGATAAAAGAAATTCAGCACAATCTCTAATTATGTCAAGCAAAAATATTATATAATGTTAATATTAAAGATCACGGAGAATCGTTTCATTAAAACATGTAAAGTATATTTGGAGATTTTGGTGAAGTATCTATTCTTTCTTTCATGTGTAGAAATTACACGAGCACCAAAAAATTAAGTGAACAATCAATTAAGATCCCCCTACCACCATCTTGCACTTGGAAATTAAAAAGCACATTATCATATTATTCATGCACTGAAAACCAAACTGAATGGAAGTACAAAAAAAAAAAAACAGCAATAAAAAAGAACCTTTTAGCTGAATGTTAACAATTATGTTTCTTATCAAATCTTGTGTTACTTCAGATATATTAGTGTGAAAGAAGAATGATAACCTCAAATACTTAATTAAAAACAAAAAGATTTTGTTAATATTAAGTAGTGATCTAAAGAAAGGTGTATGTAACAAAAATAAGACATATTAATGCAATTAAAGCAAAGTGTTTTTAGAAATATTTTCAAAAATTATAATACAAAGGTGGTTCATTGAAAACTTAAATAAATACATGCATTTGTAGCATGTTTTGTCAAAAAGAAAAATATTAGAATGTATTTTAATTCCAAATGTTATTGATTGTACAAATTAAGAAACAATAACCAGAACAGCTTAGTAAATGAATTTAAGCTCTACCATATTAATGAACAATAAATTCACAATATTAAAGATACGAATTTTCCCAAATTATAATCAAAATTCAGTGTATGAGAATTTTCCCTACTCGATAATGCAATGGTGTTTACCACAATGATGTGGATGTTCAAATGCATTAATATGTTAAAATAAGACAGAAGCACATGCGTATATGTAAATTTGTTAAATGACAGTAGTATCCTTGATCTGTGAGAAAAGTGTCAAGTAGTTATATGAACAATTTAACATACTTTCAGAAAACAAAATAAAATGAACCCATTTCTGATACTATGTATAAAAATCAATACCATTTCTATCCCCATTCTCTTCCACTCCTTTTACTCCCCTCTACCTAATCTAAAGTAACTCTATTCTTTCTTAGCCACCCTCCATTGTGAATTAGCATCCACATTTCAGAGAAAACATTTGGCTTTTGGTTTTTATGGATTGCCTTATTTCACTTAGTATGATATTATCCAGCTCCAAATGTCATAATTTCTTTCTTCTTTAAGTCTGAGTAATATTCCATTATATATATGTGTGTGTATATATATATAACACATGATATTATCATCATACATATATATGATATATATATATATATATATCACATTTTTTATTGATTCATCTGTTGAAGGACACTTAGGTTGGTTCCATAATTTAGCTATTGCGAATTGAGTTGATAGAAACATTGATATGTCTGTATCACTGTAGTAGAATGAAACAGACATTATTACCCTATATACAAATATAACTGGTGTGATTCTACATCATGTACAACCAGAAGAATGAAAAATTATACTCCATTATATTTAATGTACCAAAGTGCATTCTACTGTCATGTATAACTTAATTAAAACAAATTTTTAAAAAATTAAAAAAATTAATACCAAATAGATTAAATACTTTTGTCTTTTACTATTAACTATTTTAGGAAAAAATATAAAGAGATAAATTTATAACATTATATTATAGGAATTACATCTTAAATAGGACACAAAGGGCAAAAATCATATAGGAAATGTTTATAAATTTGATTACTATAAAACTAAAACTTATCAACAGATATTTTACAAAGGAAACTTTATGCTAGGAAATAATATATTCAGTTCATATACCTAATAAATTATTAAAATGCAATTATAGTATACTGTAAATCTATACAAAATAAGATCAATAGAAAACATAGTAAAAAGTGTATAGCAGGCAATTCCATAGAAAGAATATCTCATATAACTCAATAAAAATTAGAAAAAGATCTAAATTTCCATAGAAGTCAGAAAAAATTAAGTAGGACTTTGATGATATATTTTTCATGTAGATAGATGAGAAATGTAAAAGTGAAAATATCAAGAACTATCAAGAAAATAAACAGTAGTAACATGTATTTACTGCTAATGCTTATACATTTTTATAGCCAGTTCTGATTAAACAATGTATATTTCCAACAAACCAGAAAAATAAATCTATGTGTACCTAATATTTAATAACAGTACTTTATATGTTCATAAGGAAATATATACATCAATTTCATAGGACTATCTCTCATCATTATGAGATCCCATTCAAAATAGAACCAGGGTAACTCTGCTCTCTGCTCTCTTCCTCTCTTCCTCTCTTGCCCTCTTCTCTTCTTTCTGTCCTCTCTCTACCCTTTCTCTTTCTCTCTGCTGTTTCTCTGCTCTCTTTCTCTCTGCCTCTCCTTTTCTTCCCGTTTTGGCAGCCCCCCAATAAATCTCTTGGTTGAAACAAAAAAATAGAACCAGAGTAACATTAATATAGTTGAATCTTATCAAAAATTAAAAATACAACATGTCATTTTTATGGTTAATAAACATGCAAATGACACTTCATATCATTTATTGATACATATAGTACAATGTACTTACATAGAAAAATGAATAAGTGATTATAAATAGAAAGTAACTACATTCAATTTAGTATTTTCTGTGTTCATCTTGAAGCAAGTCTGTTGGAGTGGAACTCAATTTTCTTTAGAATAATTTATTTCATAATATCAATATGAATACATAGTCACAGGCTTTATTCTATCAATTACTCTTATAATAATAATAAAAATTAAAGAGTTTCATTTTTTATTAAGATGCAAAATATTTTAACACAATAATTTTATCTTTACACATTGAATTAATGATTTTATCAAAAGAAAATTGATGAAAGTAAACACAGGCTAAAAATGTGTAGAGACAGTGGAGACAAAAGTATGTAAAACAATGTGGTATTAGAGGCAAAGATGGAGCAAAAACGAAAAATAGATTCAAAAAGAAATATGTAAAGTTTAGACATAAAATGTGATTCTCTTGGCAAATTTGAGAATTTTAATGCTATAAATAATACATATATTTGTTATTTAGGTTGGAGCAGATATCTGTGGATTTGTGGTTGATACTACAGAAGAGCTTTGCAGAAGATGGATGCAACTTGGAGCATTTTATCCATTTTCTAGAAATCATAATGCTGATGGATATGAGGCAAGTGTCTTTTCTTCTCCACAACTATAGGTCTAATTATGTTCTAAATTTGTCTACAGAAGATATGATCTGAAAGATTACAGAATAACTTGCAAAGAATAGTTAGATGTTCTTGTCTCAATGCCCATATTTACATTTATATGTACATACATACACACACACATATATAACTATTATATAAAAATCAAGTAAGGAAATCATGAAGCAAAATATAATTATAATGTAAATATTTTATTAAAGCCTCAGTCATAAAAATATGTGTGTTAAATTGCTAGTATTTTAAGTTAGAGTCAAAGATTTTCGAGTATGGATTCTTTGATTCTGGCAATGTAAGTTTCAGGTAACAGTTTTCATACAAATTATACTATTAAGAATCTCCAATTTTTGTTTCATTAAAGGTAAAAATTAAAGACATTTTGCAAAAAAAAAGATTTTTGAGTCCCAAATTATTCCATAATAAATAAAATCAGAATAAATAGGTTGGGAAAAACAAAACTAAGACTTTGATAGCATGGTTCTGAACTAGTAGTAGCTCCGATATAAGGAAATGTGGAGCTGTTCAGCCAGCCCAGAATTCAGCATGTCATGATTCCTCATATGTATATTTTTCAGAGAAGGGTAAAGTTCAGTTAAACAATTAAGTTAATGAAATGTGTGCTGTTTAAGAATTATTCAGTATTTACACATTTTTTGCCTGCACTTAAATTCTTTAAAAAGAAGATGACAACTCCTCATTTTGGCTTCTAATGTGGCTTGAGGGAAAAGAATTAAAAGGGCAAATTGGAGGTTAGCCACTTCCTAATCCATCCAATGATGGTGAGTAGTTCACCCAAATGACACTCAGGAGCAATTCATGTCCATAGGAGATCCTGATATGAATTATATTGTACTTTGTATTAATTGGTGTTTTTCAAGAAGTAGATGGTATGACAGAATTAATGTGTTAGAGATTCATTGATGAAATACTTGTGAAGGACAACAGACAGGAAGCATAAAAACGGGCAGGAGACTTCAAACCACAATTCAGGTCTGAAGCAGGGAAGTTGGCCAGGAAAGAAGGTGATTTGGTAAGGAGAATCGCTGACTGCAACATAGTTTCAGTTTCATTGAGGTCAGATGGGGATGTTTAAGGCCAAGTTGACCACTGAAAGAGTCCTATATCTCCTAGAATAGGGTGTGCAAAGTATTCCTGTCATGAGCATTCAATGGCTGGGAGCAGCCAAAGTGAACAGAATTTCAGTGTAAATGTAAATGTAAATTCAGAGAAACAGTGGCTGCTATCTTGAGTAAATTTCCTAAACGGAGATCTAAATAGGCTTTCTCACAGGTTACCTGATGAAGTTAGCTAATCTAGACTCTTAGCTGGGGCTCAGTAGAAATGCTGCACTTCAAGGTTCAAAACTGCAGACTGGCCAGGTAGCTCTGCTCCCTATATTCCTGGGCCAGTGGACTACCTGGGTGAATTCTAATGGTAGTGACAAGCACAAGACAGTAAATCCTTAAGCAAGCACATTTCAATACTGTGCTTGATTATGACACACGTACTATCATCCCACTAAACTAAACTACTTCAGAGATCTGAGCACAACATCAAGTATGGTAAGAACTTGTGATGGTAGGAACACCCTGCTCAATGATAGGGACTATCAATTACATGGCCAAGGATGTCAGTACAATGAAATATTGAAGCCAATAATTAATTCTACCACAACTAAAAGGTGAAACTCCTGTTTTGTTTTTAAAAAGTCATCTTCCCTGGGTATATTTGTATCAGAAATGTCTAATGTAAATCTTATTAAATACATAATCAACTAAATACAAATATTTATCACACACTGTGATGACGAAATAAGGACAATTTTAGCTTTTTATAAGCAAGCTCATATATATTATTTGTGTTTCAGAAATACAAGCAAATATTTCTATATCAATATACATTTACATTTTAGCTTTCTTATTTTAATTTCCCTTTTTATCCTATAGCATCAGGATCCCGCATTTTTTGGACAGAATTCGCTTCTGGTCAATTCATCAAGACACTATTTAAATATTCGCTATACCTTATTACCTTTCCTCTATACTCTGTTTTATAAAGCCCATATGTTTGGAGAAACAGTAGCAAGACCGGTTCTTCATGAGTGAGTACTATGTATAAGAATTAAAATATCTTTTAAAATATACTAAGAAACACATTGAAAAGATTAGAAGAGGTAAATCAATATCAAGTGAATCTATGTTTGCTTATATTTATAGTTATATATATATATATATATATATAATTTGACAAATAACATAATGATTTTACTAAACATAATTTGTTGGATGGACAACATTAATTATAGAAATGTTACAACTGAATAAAACTTAAAAGAAAAACATACATATAATATGTTAGGGAAATTATATCAGTAAGATTAAACACAGAATCATTGAAAGTATATCAAGTGTGCATTGTAAAATCATGTAAATATAGATTACAATGTAAAATGCTTAAAAAACGTGAATTGTGCTTATACTTGTATAACATGATTACAATAAACCTTTCCTCAAGAAATGACTTAAAGACCTTTTCAAATACATTTCAAAACTGGAGATTTAAGATGAAAAAGTTTAAAAGGGAGAGAGTAGAATATGAAAGATTTGTGGTATTTGATAAAACTATTTTACAGGAGAAATAAAAAAAATAATTTATTACAGACTCAAAGTAGCCATATCACCTATGGATGATTTTTTTTTAATATCAGAACTAATTTCTTTAATTTCTCCCTATTCTCTCCCTTCCTTTTAAGTGTGAGATGAATCATAAAGAATTTAAGAACTATTGATTTAAAATCACACCTACTGTAAAACAAGTAAAATGAATAATAATACTCAGGGAAAACCGAAAATATCAAACAAACAAGGAATTTGGATATATTTATTTTGTATTATTTTATCTTAAACATTGTCATTGTTCTTAGGTTTTATGAGGATACAAGCAGCTGGATTGAGGATACTGAGTTTTTATGGGGCCCTGCATTACTTATCACTCCTGTTTTGAAACAGGTAAGTTTTACAAATTTAATAAATGTATTGCTTAAAGGGAACTTTGTATTATTAAATCCATATTTAATTATGAAGCATCTGGGTTATAGATATTACTCAATGGACTGTTTCAAGATGATAAGTGTTTAATTGAATACTAAAGTGCAGAAGACATTTAAAAATTATAAGAATATTAAGTAAATCTATGCTTATCAAATATACAATATGTATTAAAGGCACAGACATTGCATAAAACTAATATTTTCTTGTAAAAGATTTTTTATTTAATAAAAATCAAGTTTAACAGTGAGCTTTTCATTAAATAAACGTTGAAATTTTGTTAAAGTGTAAGTAAAGGGTAATCTGAGAACTATCTGATCTTAAGAAAGTGTTCAAAAAATAGTGGAGCGAATTGCTGGTTCCTATTTTTTAATGTCTCTGTGTCTGTGGAGAAATATTCAGAAATGAACATATTTACATTCACAATGATCATACTTTATAGCAGTATAAGTGCATTCATGCATTATTTTAATTGATAGCTAAAATAATTTCATCTTTGCCTCTTTGATTTTGCTTATTTTTTACATTTTGATAAGTAATGCTAGGAAAATGGCACTTTGATTATTATCCATAGGAGATAATAGAGTGTGACAACAAAGAGGAAATTTAAATTTTTTCTCTTGAAAAATGGAAATCCCAATTTATTATTTGATAAGAATTTTAAAAAATTAAAAGTACATATTGTCTTGCTTCAATTTAGGGAGCAGAATCAGTGAATGCATTCATACCTGATGCTACTTGGTATGACTACGAAACTGTAAGTAAATTTAATACACATTTGAGCTAACAACTATTATATTTTCAAACATCTAGACATGCAAACTTAACTCCAAATACATAGCATACCTATTTTTAAGAGTTCTGTAATTATTATAAAAATAATATTTTGAGAACTGTGTAAAAATACTTTGCTGCACATGAGCTATGCTTTAATGTAAAGTTCTATTTAGTCTAAGGAGGTATTGTTATTCATTTAAAATGGAATAAAAGAAGTGTTTTAGGATATAGTAGTAGCTTACTTTAATGCTTTTCTATTTTATATATTTAATTGTATTTGATTACTGAAATAATGTTATAAATTTGCTTTTATATGGTATATTTAAACATTTGTAGAAATATTTTCATTTTATTCTTGTAAAGGCAATATAACATCATTCATGCGAAATCATTTTCATTTGACAATACCTCTTTGAAGTACTTATTTTCAAAGTCATTTTGTTGTGTATTGTTTAATTTGCTAAGCAGAGCCTTTAATTTTATAAAACAATTTTTTTTATGAAGAAACTATACATGCTAATTTTATTTTCTGTGTGTGAAAGTCAGTCAGTTTCCCTATCTTTTAAATTTGTTATTGTTATTTTAATTGTACATATTTGGGATAGGGTGTAACAATTGGACATAAGTACACAATGTGTGAAGATCAAATCAGTGTAGTAAGCATTTCAATCTCCTTAAATATTTAACTTTTTAAATTCACACATTCGAAGTGTACGTACTTATGAAGTATGGTGGAATATGTCATTCCATGCAAACATTGTGAGCTGATTAAATCAGAGTAATTAGCTTTTTCATTTTCTTATCAATAAATTGTTTTTGGAGATTTTGAACTCTTCCTAGTTATTAATAAAATATACAATGGGTTATTGTGAACTAAAATTACCTACTCAGTGTATTGTAGAACACTAAAATTTTTATTTCTAATTGCACTTTGGTACCTATTACTTAATCTCTCTCTGTCTCGCTTCCTCCAGAAAACAGTATAGGGGGTTTCTTAAAAAATTAACAATAGATCCACCAAATGATCTATCTATCCCAAAGGAAATTATATGAACACACTTGCACTTCTATGTTTACTGATATACTATTCACAATAAATATGATATGGAATCGGCTTAAATGGATAAAGGATGTATGTATATGCACAATAGTATATTATTCAGTCCTAAAAAAATGATATCTCTAGCATTTGCAGCAAAATGGATGGAAATGGAGGATATTGTGTTGAATGAAATAAGCCAGATAAACACCACATGTTTTCTCTATCTCATGTGGATGCTAAAATTGTTAATCAGAATTTAAAATTGTGATTACTAGAATCACATTAAATTTAAAGTAAATGGTAGAGTGGGGTTATCTAAAATTATTATTAATTAACATTCAAAGAAAATTAATTTCTCCATATCAATCTTTTGAATTTTAGAGAAAGCAAATTTATTTTTTCTTTGATTTATATGGCAAATAAAGGAATAGAATTTTCTTAAAAAGTTAGAAAATAACATAATCATATTCATTTGGTTGATATGAATGCTAAGAATAAAAATATGGAATGGAATTTAAGCCTTTCACTGATGATAAAAAGACCTTCCATTTTTTTTTTAAATATTAGGGTGCAAAAAGGCCATGGAGAAAACAGCGGGTTGATATTCCTCTTCCAGCAGATAAGATAGGGTTACATCTCAGAGGAGGTTATATCATCCCTACCCAAGAACCAGCAGTAACAACAACAGCAAGGTAAAATGAGTCACTAGCTGAAATCTGAAATTTAATTTGTGTTAAGAGTTCATATTTTTCTTAAGAATCAGAGATTAATGTTGTTGTTTTTTCACCAGAACATATTTGACACACAGAGGTAATGCTTAACTATAATCCTCATGGTTACAAAAAGACTTAGTTTTTATATATAATAGCAAATGTCTTGATTCAAAAAATTAACACTATTGGATTAAATATTTTTTCATTACCAAATATTTACTCCTGTTCTCTCTAGAACATAGAGAATTAAAGATAATCTCTGGTTCTTGATAAAAATATAAAATACTAATTCTTGTTATACAATTTGAAGATATGTCAGTATTTACATGTTTGGATTTTTAACACACACTGTCAACAATTTTTTCTTTCTCCTAAAGTATTTTACTTTTAATTTGTTAAGTGAGCAGACTTGGTAGCATGTGCCTATAGAAGGCTGAGGTGATGGAACTCTGAATTTGAGTCCAGTCAAAGCTATTTAGGGAGATCCTGTCTCAATAAAACTAAACAAATTTTTAAAAAATCTCCAAATACTCCATACTTCAGTATTATATAGGATGGCTCAATAGTTTGTTGACCAAAAATTAAATATTTTTTAAACATTGGCAAATGAAGTAGATATTTCAGTTTAGGTAAAGTACAATAGAGAAACAGTTTTGTAGTAGGACTGTTAAATATTTCTATATTCAGAATAAAATAAGAAACTTAGCGATTCTGGTGTTTTATTTTGCAGTTTTGAGTCCAAGAGCATAGAAGTCTCTTTTAATTCACCTAATTTCCCATTTTCTGCAACGCCTTCCATGACTTACCTTGCTACATTTTTTATAACCGAAACTTTTATATATATGAAAGTATATTATTTACTTTTCTGTGTACCATGTATGTGCATGTAGACTATAAACTCCATGAAAACAATTATGTGAATTTTTTCAATTTTATCTTTCCAATTTTATATAGTGCCTGGCCCATCAAAAGCTATTTTCTGTATATACTTACTTGAAGGAACAAATTAATGAGAGGATGACTATATGTTAGTAATTAAATTACCTTCATGTTCTAGAATTGTTTATTCTTATAATGTAACTTTAATGACCACACTCTTGAAATTGGTCATTGAGCTGTATTGAACAAGAGAAACTACCTTTGTAAATGTGTATTGGAATTAATATATTCTGTATAAAACAGTTACTTGGACATTGTATCCTCAGGGGTGCTGATGGTGATAAATGACTAAGAAAAATATTTTTATTGATCACATGTCTCATTACTCCTGTTACACTTATCTTTATTTTAATGTTAGATATTTCATTAAAGATATTTAGAATTTTTGACATCATGTCTTCATTATTTTGTGTATATGTTGTGGACTTTATCCACTGCAATTTAGGGTGATGCAAGTTGAATTGAGCATTGATAAGACATCATTTTATTTTCATTTCACTTGAAACCTTATACTGTTTAAATTTTACAGATGTCATAACATAAAAAATTCATTACCACACTATTATACTTATTTATTTTATATATTTTCTAAGAAAATAAGTTATCTCTGCATTCACATAATAATATTGGTACTGAAAAATTTCTAGCATAGGCACTAATTTGTGAATATCAGTGATCTTATGTTGCTGAAGAACTACAAAACTATTAGGTTGAAATGGACTTACTTATAGGATATTTCACTTGCGTAAATTTTTAAAAATTTATGTGCACACCTACTTTACTCAACAGCCGTAAGAATCCCCTAGGACTCATTATTGCATTAAATGAAACTAACATGGCACAAGGAGACTTTTTCTGGGATGATGGAGAAAGTAAAGGTAAGTTTCCAGGTAACGTGTTTTTTAATGTTTAGTGGGATAATGTTGCATTTTGAATGTATTGATAAAAATAGGATTCATTCTGTTATTTTTATGGTTTTTAGTTATTCCATGAAATTTAACATTATTTGACATATATATATATATATATATATATATATATATTTAATTGAAATATCTAGTTTTGTCTATTGGCTTTTTGTTTAGTTCTTGACAATTGTGTATATCTTTCTATGCCATGTTAATATTTTAAAATTAAAATTTTAATAAATTTCCATATGTACAACTAAATTATGACAGTAGTTCTGAAAATTGTGTAATTGTAAACAAAAAGAGAAACTGATATTTAAGGGGAAACCAATATTTAAATATTTTTTAATTAATGTCAAATTGCTTGAGGTAAGAATGTTTTACAATTTATTCCCATTATTCAGTATCTTAAATTTTGTTTTCAGCAACAAACTGGAGAATTAGTACACCAAAAAGAAAAGTAGAAATAAAAACAGCCATTTTTGTGCTAATATCTAATTAAACCATAATATATTTATGTGTGTTAGTCAACTAAATTATAGATTAAAGTCTATCTCAATCTTAAGATATCTCCAGATTCAGTCTTTATCTCTAAAAACTGGAAAGTAATTTAAAAATAAATTAAAAGATAGGTAATAAATTTATGGTATGCTATGTCTTCTACAAAAAAACTTGACATGTGATTTCCTAGGTAGGGAATAAGATAAATATCATTAAAATGATAAACATGTAATTATACATCTTTTATGATTTTCTAGAAACATATTAGTACTTTGAAAAATTAGGCAAATAGGTTTTCTTCACATTAACTTACAGGGAAATTAAAATGCTAAGATTATTTTGTGTATAGATAATTATGAAACTCAATATAAAACCAAAATTGTTTAAGAATCTTCATTAATAAATTGTATCTAATTTTTAAAATCTTGTTTTATATAACTGTAAAAAAGCAAATAATTTAATTGTATTTTAATCTGAAGATTTGATTATTTTCCATTTCAGACTCCATAGAGAAGGGCAACTATATATTATATACATTTTCAGTTTCTGATGTAAGTATTCTCCTTTAATACATAGTTAAATGTATACTTTGCTAATGTATGGGTTATTCTTTCATTATGAATTATTTTTAAAATAATAATAAATAATTCTACCTCAAGATCTTACCTACATGCAATGAAATAGTCATTAAACTAAATTGTTAAATTCAAGTTGTTAAATCATGAACAAATTATTATTATAAAATTTTATATTTAATTGTATTAGATGATTTTTCATACTAAAATTTGCGCACTGAAGTCTTTGGGCTTCTTAGGTATAATGTTGGGTTTTAAGCAACAGGTCCTAGGAAAATAATTTTGATATATTTGAAGATGTTTTAATATATCAGTCACTGTGATAATAAAGCAGATTTTGGTGGAGAATGAAAAAAATCTATATCCAGGTTAAATTTTTATTTAACTAATAGTGATTATTTTTATAGAGGCTGAATTTCTTTTTCTTTATATATTCTTGTTGCCCAAACTAAGATATTCTTTATCAATGTGGGGGCCAAAATAAGGAGGGGCACATATGAATTGCATCAGAAGAGATTTAGGTTATTTCTGAAAATAAAGTTTTATGTCATGTATATGAAAAATGAAGAGATACTTGCTTGGGGAGAGGTGAGAATGGAGAGGTAGATGATTGAAACTTTTTCTTTTTTATATCTTACATTATTTCAGGTTAGTATGTGATGACTCTCTGTATGACATTATAAGCTTTTATTTTCCCCCAGAACATTTTGAATATTGTATGCTCACATGCATCATATCAAGAAGGAACTACCTTAGCATTTGAAACTATTAAAGTCCTTGGGTTGACAGATACTGTTACAGAAGTTACAGTGAAAGAAAGTGGACAGCCAGTGATTCCTCACAGCAGTTTTACTTATGATGCTTCCAACCAGGTAAACCATGTTACAAAATATTTTAGTTGTGGTATACTCTCATATTTATTGTTAAAGAACCATAGACACTTGGTTTTTAAAATTATTTTTCTTCACAAATTTTTCCTCCCTCCCTCCCTTCTTGCCTTCCTTCTTTCCTGTCTCTTTCTCTGTCCTTCTCATTTTTTTTTCTATTAGGTATAGTGCTCTATTGCTTCCTTTTCAACTTGTGTCTGATGCATTTTAAGTACTGGATACAATTAGGTTAAGAAGAAATATTAAGGTTAACAAGTATTTGTACTCTGAATCTGGAAGCTTCCTTCTAAAAAAGAGATCAACTTTTTCCCCCATTATATTCTTTGAGGGAAAGTACATTTACTTTATACCTAGTATGTCTGAGATATTGTACCAGTTGCTTTAAATTTCATATCTAATTCGTTCTGTATAACACTCTCTTTTAGGAAGAGCAGAAATTGGGGATATTACAATTATACAGTATTCCCAAAGACTCATTAGCATTAAATGATAGAACTGAAAAGTGAACTCATGTCTGGAATTAAAGATAATAGATTTCTTCAATTTTCTACAATCTCTCATAGTTACTCCATCTCAGAAGTTTTATTTGCTGGAATTGCATTATGTTTTTCTTCTTTCTTTTCTGTTCTTTAAGTATTGTAGCAAAACTATTAACAATTTATTTTGAAGAATTTCTGTGGCTGTCACATATTATAAAATGTTAAATATTTTTAATTGTCTGTGGTCAAATTAAATAATTATTTAATTTTTTTTATTTTGTCTCAAAGATTCTCTTAATTAGAAGTCTCAACTTAAAACTTGGAAAAAGCTTTACCGTTGGATGGAATCAAGTTTTCACTGAAAATGAGAGATTTACTTGTTATCCAGATGCAGACGAAGTAACTGAACCAAAATGCATACAACGTGGTTGTTTATGGCAAACGGTAATTTTAACTATGACTCCATATGATTTTCATATAAGTATTTCAATGTGAACTTTACATATTACAGTTTTAATTCCATGACATATAAATAAGATTCATACACAGAATCATGCAGAATTTGAAATCAGAAACTCTGATATTTCTACTTTATATTAACCAATTATTCAAAGACTTACCTTAATAATCCCAAGTCTCAATGAATGTTTAAATTGCTTTCCAGACAGCTTGAATAGTGTAATTTTATTTAATAAAATTGTGCTTTATTTGTGGCACTTTGTTAGATATTGGCTGTAGGAGACCAGCTTAACTGGGTAAGCTAGTTTGCCATTGATGAACAGTTTTTCAAAAGAGTTGTCTCTAGATATTAAAACGTATGAAGGTGTGTGATGGGCTAAAGTTCTGTTCTTTTAAGAGACGATAATATCTAGCCATTTATTTTGGCCATTCTTTCATCTGAATAGTGTTGGTTGTATTTAGAAGTGTTTTTACCAATACTACAGAAAAGGGATATGAGAAACATGTCCTTTTGTTATGTTTTTAAAATGCTGGCCTTTTGGTTACATCACCAGGTTTTGGCAGTAGAAATACAGTTATAAGTACATCATTAAGATCAATTACACCCGGCATGATTATAGAATCTTAGGTCTAATATATTGTCATTTTAGTGTCATCAATGACTCAGGCATATCTATGTTTACCACTTGATTTTACTCAGTTACATTATGACTTCTGTCATTACATTTGTTTTCCATATATAACAAGAAACATGGAAAGGTAAGGACTAGCCCAGTTTAATCTATTTAGGTCAACATGCTCTCTTAGGGAGCCTTGAGGTCTTACAAAACTCTTGTCAAAGAGACTTGGAAATAACAAGGAGTATATTTCTTCTCCCAACAATATAATAAGTTAATAAATAGATATATAGGAAGAATGGATTTGTGATAAAGCAACTAGCATTTAGTACCAGAATTTATTACTTTTCTTCCTTAGGTTCTAGCCTCCACCTTTATATAAACCAGTCAGCTCTGAGCTTTGACTGTAATTTCTATTTTAAATTCTGGTCAAGATAGAATTAACCAAGGCATAAGAACTAGTCATCAAAGAAGGATTAAATAAGCTCCTTATAAATAGAACAAGAGAACCTAAGCAAATGCCCTTGTGATGGTTGTCACATGTGTGTGATGTGTGTGTGTGTGTGTGTGTGTGTGTGTGTGTGTGTGTGTGAGCTCCAAATTTATTTATTTTTATTGCTTGGAGCCACTTTTACATGCAAAAAGCAATAGTCAAGTCACAATGAAGAAAAAGAAAAATGAGTTATCAAAATATGAGACTACTATACTTAATTTTTATAAAGAAAACAGATCTATTTTTTTAATTGCAAACCTATGACAGTTTGTGTTTCAATTCTACTGTTCTACCTTTAGATTCAAATGATATTTTATATAAAAATTATAAAATCCAGTGTTTCAGATTGTTTTATACTTTTCCTTTCTAAATCATGCATTTGATTAAACATAAATCTAGCTCAATTTTAAGTTGAATTTTAATTTATATTTTTATTTTGGAATAGAGTCTTGTTAAGTTGTTCAGGTTGGCTCTAGACTTGCCATCCTCCTGCCTCAGTCAACCTAGTAACTGGGATTGCAATTATGAGCTACCTTTCTCAGAAGGATGCCTTATGTTTTTAAGAGTTAAATGATCCAATGCTTACACTTTCTGGCAATAACGTACATTATATTTTTAGGCCGAATCCAGTGCTCCTCTGTGTTACTTTCCTAAACAATACAACCCTTATGTAGTCACCTCAACTCAGTATTTACCAACGGGTATAACAGCCGACCTTCAGTGGAATACTAGAAATGCTAAGATAGCGCTACCATCTGTTCCCATTTCAACTCTGCGTGTGGAGGTGAAATATCACAAAAATGATATGCTGCAGTTTAAGGTATGTTCAATATAAACTATTACAATACTTGACTTGGCTCTTGAAATAAGACATTTTTAATAGATTAAGCATTTGCATTTTGAATGTAATTTTACAGGTTATTAATTAGCTTGATGATGTTTTGATTCTATACAATTTTTTTTCCACACAGCTCGTAGGTAAATGACCATTAAATAAAGCTTCTCATCTTTGCTAATTTTTGGAATTAAAAAAAATATGCATGGTAGTTTAAAAAAACTAAATTCTTGTTAAATACATAAGTTCAACGCTGAAGAGGTCCATCACTTGGAATTGTATTATGTTAATATAGATTTGTTTAAATAAATTAAATAAGATGCTTAGTATTATTCCTAATAAGTGGTCTGAAATTTTTACTAACACAATATAACATACAAAAGAAATAATTTCTTTCAATATTTATAATTAGCAATTATATTTTTAAGAATTCCAAGGAAATCCATTAATAAAACTACTGGAAATTATAAGAAAGATAGTAAAGTGACTGGATGTAAAATAAAATCTTCAAAATATATTTCTTGAGTTCTGTGTTTCATCATTTAGAAGCTGAAATTACAGTAGATCTTATTAGTAAAATCAAGAAAAATTCAAAACGCCAAACAAATCAAATCAAAACACCAAACATCATAGGAATTAGTGCACTGCCAATAAAATAAAAAAAATGTTGATAGATACTAATAAGCACTAAAAATCCTATACAGGACTAAATTTTATTTTAAATGTTAGTGCACTTTATATCAATTGTTGCTTTTAAACTATTTCCATAGAAATAACAGTGGAATATTTTTGAGACTTCATGCAATAACCTTTAAGTTGATCTGAAATGATAGACATATAGAAATAGTTAAAATTTAAAAAGGAGGAAAGTTTTAAAAAGTTACTAAACTGAAACAATATGGATCTGGAGCTAAAATTGTCTGATAGATTATGGTAACAAAATGGTACAAAAGCATAAAAGATATGCTTAAAGTATACAATATACATTATGCATGTATAACATATGAATATACTTAGTGCAAAACTTTAATACCAAACAATGAAGGATTGAGAAAATTAATAATGATGAGCTACCCTATTTAATTACTCATGTAGAAAAGTGTTTGCCTCAAAGAACACCCTAAAATAAAATTAAGATTGAGTTGCATATGAAAAATAAATTAAGCATAAACATAAAACCAAATGTAGCATCATATCATCTTGTATGTGGTTAGTAGAGGTCTTTCAAACTAACTACCACGGAACAAATCTCATAGACATCCCATAATGTCTTATATAAAACTTAATCATGATTTTACATCAAAAAATAAAAGACACCTTTTCAGGTAAATGGATGGATCTGGAATGAAATAAGCCAATCCTCAAAATACCCAAGTTCCAAAGGCTGAATATTCTATCTGATATGTGGATGCTAATACACAACAAATGGGGGTATAGGATTTCAGTGGGTGAGACAAATTGAGAATGAATGGAAGTGGGAATGGGAATAGGAAAGACAGTAGAAAATCAGATATAACTTTTCTATGTTCATATATGAATATATCAACAGTGAAACTCCACATCTAGTACAACCATAAGAATGGGATCCTAATTAGAATAAGTCATACTCCATATCTATATGTCAAATTACACTCACTGTCATATATACTTAAAAAAAAACAAATTAAAATAAATAAAAAGAAGATGAAAATGAGTAAATAACTGAAAAAGATATGACATTTAGGTCACAATTTCATCTCATGCAACTGAAAAGAATAAGAAAGTCTCATAAACAGATATTTAACAAATGGAGAAATAAAAACTGAAAATAAGACTATTAAAATATTTATACTTTAAAAATTTAAAATTTAAAAATTTAAGAACACAAGTCAAATTAAAAAAGCAAAACATAAAAACTTTGTTTATAAACATAAATAAATATTGAACAACAAACATTCCCATGAACAAGAAAATAACAGTCATGTGTCGCTCAACAATTAGGACACATTCTGAGAAATGCACAGTAAAACGATTCTGTCCTGTGAACTTCTTTAAGTGTGCTAACACAAACCAACACAGTTAAAAATATCACTAGGCCATATCATCTTCTGGGACCATCATCATATATGGGGTCTGTCATTGATGAAAATGTCATCATGCAGCAAGTAACTGTAATTAACAATTGTTTAAAAAGCTTATAATTTAATATTAGTATTTGAGCACTTGTTTCAGTGAGAATATTAATTTCCACAGTAACTCTAGAAAGCAGTTTACTAATAGTTATCAAGGACCCTAAAAAATGTACAGAGAAAGTAAAGACATGAATAAATATAATTTATTATTAACATTTGTTGTCTTATTACATGGATGACCAAAAATATTGAAAAAACATTTACATTGTTTATGTGTGAAAGGACATACACATTTTATGGTTTATTCATAAAATGGACCATTTACTTCTAAAAGTTTCATTTTTTATTTCTTCTTTAGAAAATGACTCACAAAACATTTTTTAAAAGATCCCCAAATTCTCAAATTGGATCCCATTTATATTTGTGCATCTCAAATGCTATGTAAATACAATAGGCCATAGATTTAGAATTAGATATTTTATGCACAATAATTTTAAATAGTCTTTTAGGACAATTACTTAAATTAGTAAATAATATTTGCATACTGTGTCAGCAATAAGAATAAGCTACATCTACTTTTATTATTTCTCTGCAATAGATTTATGATCCCCAGAATAAGAGATATGAAGTTCCAGTACCATTAAACATTCCAACCACTCCAACAAGTACTTATGAAAACAGACTTTATGATGTTGAAATCAAGGAAAATCCTTTTGGCATCCAGATTAGACGAAGAAGCAGTGGAAGAGTTATGTAAGTGATTGAATCATTTGATGGGAAAGATATTTTAATTTCAGTTGAAGAAAGAAATGGTAGGATTGTTATTTTCATAGCATTCACCATACTAGAATAGTATCACATTAAAAAGTTTTAGTCATATTGAAAAGTTGCCAATTTTAAAATTTTTAAATTAGACAATTAGTACACCTATAGGACTATCATGAAGGACTAGTGTAAAATTTCATTTACATGTAAATGTGATTAATTTTAATTAATAAATATGATACTTATTCCTTTAAACATCTAGCCTTCTGTTGAAGAGCATGCTGTGTTGGTAAAAATAATAATGAAAATAAGTCATAGAATTATTTCATTGGAACTAGGTAAAGTTTACTTGGACTGAAATCTGAGAGTTAATATTTTGTCTTCCAATTTTGATGAACAGAAACTGAGATAAAAGATATATATTTATTTTTGTGTCACAGTAAATAAATTTATTTTTGAAATACTGTATTTTAGCTAAACTATAGTGTATTAAAATGTATTTTATATGTTTCAAGCTCACTTTGCCATTCATCTAAAGATTAGATGATTGGGAAATGATGCATCATCAGAATACAAATATAAAAAAAAACATGTCTGTACTTATTTAATTTTTATTTTGTTTTGACAAAGTTTTATTAAAAAACATGAGAAACTATTTTTTCAAAGAAAATCCTGATAAAGGGCATTATTTATGGTTATTTGGAAAAAAATTAATTTCTAGTAAGTAGTTTACGAAATAAGTAATATAAAAACTTTGAAGTTGTCCCAAGTTATTTATAATATTTATGTTTCCTGTCCTGCCAATTTTTTCCCTCCTCCTTTATATTATTCTTGCAAATAACCCAAATAATAATACATTCTGTTAACACATTTTCACAAACATTGATATTAATAACTATACAAGAACAATTGAGAGCAGTAATTGGGAAGAATTTAGAATTAAAATATTTATTGTGCTTACAGTTTATTGTGATACTGATTTATTTTTGTTTCATAGGTAGAAAAACATTTATAGTGATGATCTCAAAGCCCAGGTGAAAAAGATATCATGCCATATCATATTGTGTATTTGAATCACTCTGAACTTCACATTAAATTAATTTAATTATAATTTCTGAGAAAAAGAAAAATGAAGGTTTATTGCTTTGCTAACAAAAGAGACATGCAGGAGATTCCTGTCCCCAAAGCTGTGATTCTGCCCTTTGGCAGGAACAGGGGGCTCTTAAAGAGGTGATAGCAAGGCTACATTACCCAGGTTTTCTCTATTGGAGTTGTAATTCACTTGTTAATTTGGGAGAGTCATTTCTGAGATGTTCTGGCGTCATCCCCAAAGTCAGGATTACTTCCTTCCTTAGGTGGGTGTGTACTTAAGGACAGAAAAATCTGCCTAAAAGGAGAAGAAAAGTAAATCTGCCTAAAAGGAGAAGAAAAGTAATTCTGTTTCCCCTGAGTTTAGGGAGGGGGAGAGACCGGGGAGGAGCAGGAAGAAAGGAAGAGAAAGAAACATGTCCATTTTAAAAATCAGTTGCCCTGGCACAGCAGCAAGGCCTATATTCAAAGCATAAAGTGAACTACTGTTACATCTCCCCACTGTGTGGTAATGCCTAATAATAATGGTCAAAAAGGACTTTAGAGTCACAAATTTGTCCAGAATCAATTTTGAGCCTGATCTAAAAGACCTATAAATTTTCCTAACCTCCTAAGTTGGTAAACTCAATCTGTTTTCTCTGATATGAGTTAGTGTCTTGCTGTTTTTCAGAGACTGGCTGAAATATTAATTGCTTTTGTGCTGTTTACAAAAAAATATATAATACTTTGCTGTCTTGTTTATTATTGGCTTAGCATGATTGCTTCCCTATGTGTGCCTCGTCCAGTCACCTGTTATCTGCCACTGTGGACCTCTGAACTGCTCTGAAGCTGAATGACTTTAACTGTCCATGCCTCACCTGATAGAGAATAAGGACTTTGTGTTGCTTCCCCCAACTTTGTCCCCTTTCAGCAGGAAGCAGCTTGGAGATACCATCATCTGTTTTTCTGTCGAAATTGACATTAATTTTATTTTTAAAATAATTTTTGTAGAAAGATAAATACATGCAATCACATTATACTTCTTATATTTCACATATGGGTATGTGAAATATATTTCACACACACTCCTTAACCAAAAGAAAAATGTGTCAGCATAATTATCTATGTTCATTTAGTACCTGGTACAATTAGGTACATAGGGAAAATTATTTGTTTTTAGATCACCATGGAAAGAATTCCTGTCATTATTTGTGATACTACTTTGTTTGAACTTTTCCAGGAATAACATTGTTTTCTTTGGCTTTCAGTTGGGATTCTCGTGTGCCTGGATTTGCATTTAATGAACAGTTCATTCAAATATCTACTCGTCTGCCATCAGAATATATATATGGTTTTGGGGAAGCGGAACATACAGCATTTAAACGAGATCTGAACTGGCATACTTGGGGAATGTTCACAAGAGACCAACCCCCTGGTGTAGGTACCAACATGTGAATATCTCATGGGGCAACAAAATTCATATTTAGCATTCAATCCTTTTATTTGTAATCATTTTATTTGTTCAAGATTGAAGTATATAATTAAAAAGAGGCTAGAGATTATTAGATCTGCTAAAATGATTTTTTGAAAAATAAGTAAACAAACTCACCATAAAATACAGGTGAAAGTAGAGGATAGATAACGACAAGCATTAAAACACCAGATTATGATCCAATTCCTAAACACTTTCAATTGCACGGAAAACACACGGCTCATTCAGTGTTCCTGCAAATTAACTGCCTAGATTTCTTGGGGGTTTACTGTTACTTCTTAGATAATGATTTGATTCTAATTTTTCTTTTTAACCCGCAGCTGAAGTTTTGCATTTTTGAGACCCAACTTTTAGTCACATTTTTATAGTATACTTTTATAAACTCATAATTTTTCCCAGGGTTCTGTCTTGTTTAAGGGTACATTTCATGAATAGCTGTGGCATTGTTAAATTATATATATATATATATATATATATATATATATACACACACATATATGACTTATATTTTTTCAAACATATCATGAAGAAAATCCATGATAATAAAAACTAGAAAAGTTTAATTCTTCACATATATATGTACCTAAAATATAAATTCAGTAACAGAAGCAAATAAGAGCATAATTGCATGCAGCAGCCCGGCTGGCTGGGCAAAATAACCAGGGGGTGACGAGCAACTTGTGCACATTGATACAGCAGGAGTGGGAGCCGTTTATTGTAGGACTGGAGGGATATATATACAATTTGCACAGCTTATCTTAATTAACATAAACTAGATACAGCAGTCAACCAATAAGGAATCTCCACACTTAATGGCTCACTGGTGTTACTTCACAAACCACTCCCTCTGCAAAATGCCAGGCTCCATCTTGACTTGTTTACAGACTCTAACAATTGCAAATGTTTTTATTGAGGTATTCAAACAACTTTTGCTTTTAAAAATAACTTTTTCATGGCAATAAGTTACTGAGATTGAAAAGTGTGGAACAATGTATTAAAAGTTTTACAAAGGCAAAAAACTTTATTTTTTACAAACTCATTTTCTTGAAAGTTTAATTAATTTCATCACTTCTAGGGCATTTTTTATGCAAAAATTATTGCTAATTTACAAATAAAATATCATCTATGGAAAGAAATTCAATTATTCTAATAACAACAGCATTCTACATAATTATAAGACATAGTTTCTTTATGGGTGCTACATGTATGCATATGAATATGTATGCTTTCTCTAAAGCAGTAATAGTTCAAAGAATAGGGAAATTGTTTTCTAAGAGAAATGTTTATTTAATTAAAACATAAGTTTTGTAAAACAACATTTAAATTCCAAGTTTCAATCGTACAATGAATTTTAAAGTAGCATTGATTAAATTCATGTTATTGTTATTAAGTATGTATTATGCTTTTTTAAAAAATTTCAGTATAAACTTAATTCCTATGGATTTCATCCCTATTATATGGCTCTGGAAGATGAAGGCAATGCTCATGGAGTTCTCTTACTCAACAGCAATGCAATGGGTAAAACAATTGTTGAATTTCTCCTAAAGTTTGTGTGACTTTTTAATAAATTAATATCTTAGATAAAAATGAAATATTATTTTGGATTTCCAGATGTTACCTTTCAGCCAACTCCTGCTCTAACTTACCGGACAATTGGAGGGATCTTGGATTTCTACATGTTTTTGGGTCCAACTCCAGAAGTTGCCACAAAGCAATACCATGAAGTATGATTTTGTATTTATTTTAGAAAACATTTTATCATATTACAAAGTAATTCTCTCAGTTCACCCATGCAATTTTCTTTTAAAGGTAATTGGCAAACCAGTCATGCCACCTTATTGGGCTTTAGGATTCCAACTGTGTCGCTATGGGTACAGAAATACGTCAGAGATTGTGCAATTATATGATGCAATGGTGGCTGCTGGTATCCCCTATGTATGTATACCAATTTTCAAGACACTATTAAATGTAAAATGTGTAAATTTTATGTGTATTATAATAGTTATAACAGTGGGATAAAAAATTAAGCACTTCACCTACATACTTTAAAACATTTTAAGCATTTGATAATGATTCTTAATTTTTATGTAGTACCTTATGAATTGAATATGAGATTTTAATAAAAATATCTTCATCAGATTGATAAAGGAGAAGGTATGATACCATTTTTTCTTATTCCTCCTTAATTCTATGACCTTAAGTTGTATTACTCAATTCTCCATGCACCAGGTTTGATTGATAGATAGAAGAATTTCATGTTTTCTCTTTTGTTAGAGTGAGTAGCTGGGTGATTTTAGCTTTGTATTAGATAAAATTCATATGTTACAGAATGTGAGGCTTTGTAAAATACTCTCTTCCCTCAATATTTGGAAAATGAAATATTGTACAGTATCAGTCTCTGTAATTGTATTTTTAGCAAGGTTATGGAATCCCAGGGATATTCCTGATAACATTTAAATATTGAAATGTAGAAGGCTGATTATATAGGAGCTCATTTTAAGAATAATTATGAAGGACACCATTATAAGACAACTGTACTTACAGTATAATCCAATGCTACTATGGACATTATTGTAGGGAAATCAATTGTATAGTTTGACTATACAGAAATATGTAAATGGTAATTCATCATAAAATAAGGGTTTTCAACATTATCCTTCTCAGTGATAATTTTTTTAACAACCAGGAGAAATCAAGTTCATGTCAATTAACAAAATAACTAACAAATTCAAATTTGTTAGTTATTTTGTTAATTGACAAAATTAAAATTATTCCATGACAAAATTAAAATGGGTTTATTTAAATGTGTTTGTAAATACTTCTCTGTAAACAATATGTTTATTTAAGCTGGTCTATTATTTAAAAATAATAGGGGGTTATAATATTTGACAAATTGGTGTCCCTTTTTATTTACCAATTTTAGAATTATTTGAAATTATTCAATGTTACTTTTACAGTTCCCAGAAAGAGTGCAACATTTGTTTAAGTGTATGCTCTATGAAATCCTGGTTTTTCATTTAACACAGTTTCATACTACCATAAAGCCTTTTACTTTTTTGTTTTTCAATTTCCTTTGGAAATTACATAAAAACATACTGATTTAGAATTTTTATTTCCAAATAAAATATATTAAATGAACTTTGAAAAAATAGAATATGCATATAAACTTGTTCTTAGACTATTTTACATCTTTACATGCCACTTTTATTTCTTGAGCATTGCATTCCATGATTAATCCTCTTTAGTATTAACTGAGGAGGGACTAAAGCTTTCATACTGCTGTAACTTTCAAAAGTATGATGCATTATAATACATTCACAGTTGTGTATTTCTTACCCCATTGCTACTATTCTCATATATTTCAGGATGTTCAATATACAGACATTAATTACATGGAAAGGCAACTAGACTTCACAATTGGTGAAAACTTCCATGACCTTCCTCAATTTGTTGACAGAATAAGAGGAGAAGGAATGAGATACATTATCATCCTGGTTGGTATTTATTTTTATCTGAATCTTATTATCTTAGTTTAATTAATTCTCCCAAAATAAGAGTAGGAAAGATATTTCAAAATAAAAAAAGTATTTAACTTTGGTTTCCACTCCCAAATCTAAAGCTTTCTTCCTTCAGCACTTCATTGTATTGACACAGACTACACAAACTACCATGTACTTTCAGGTAAATCCTTAGAGATAGAAGTCGAAGGCACACTGTTTCTAGTTAGCATCCACTCTACAAATTGGCATCAATTTATAGAATCTTTTAAAAATGTGGTAGATTTTTCTGTGATTATACTATTTTCAAAAAATTTTCTGGGATTGCTTCTGAAGCTTTTCACATTTAAAATGCCATCAGCTTAGTAATACTGTAGTATTTTATCAATGTCTTATAGGGAGCAGGCTAAGGATCCAGGAATCTCCACCAGAGAAACAAAGCAAGACAAAAAGTACTAATATGCTTGCTTGACAACATACTAATGGACATTCAAAAGTTCTTAGGAGTGGGGCTGGGGTTATGGCACAGCACTAGAGTGCTCACCTAGTGCACGTGAGGCATTGGGATCGATCCTCAGCACCACATAAAAATAAATATATAAAACGAAGGTATTGTGTTAAAAAAAAAAGTTCTGAGGATGTTTCTTTTGAGTAATTTAGAGGACAATCTAGTTACAGCACTGATGATTCTATCCTTTGTCCATGGAAAGCACAATCTTATTCCAATATAATAATGGGAGAATATAATATTTCACAGTGATCTTCCAGGTAGCTATACTTTTATTCCACATTCATGTTATTTATGTTTAATTTTAGGATCCAGCAATTTCAGGAAATGAAACAAAGCCCTACCCTCCATTTGAAAGAGGAATGGAAAAAGATGTCTTTGTCAAATGGCCTAATACCAGTGACATTTGTTGGGCAAAGGTACTAAATATGTTGAAATAGAATGATTATGAAAATGCTATTAAATTAAAATCTTCCATTTACATATTAAAGGCATATTCAGAAAAACAGATAAACAAAAAATATAAGGGTTTAATATATGCATTCTTGAGTTCAACCCAATTCATTAGACACAAAGAGTACATATAATTCATAAAACCAAATCCCAGGCTTATTTTTAAATTGTTATTTCATTATATTTCTTGTTATATTTTGTATTTTATT